GCATGTTGTTTGATGTGGGCACTCAGGGGCTCACCGATTCTACCAACATATCGGCCAGCGCAGTGCCGACATTGAACTCAATACATCATACACCTTTAGTGTTTAATGTTTATAAAAATAAAAATGACTTAGAAGTTGCGACTTCGGCGGTATTAGTCTTGAAGTTGGTTGCTCCAACGAGGAGCACAAGCTTCTTGCCGAACTTGACACTTGACTGACTCATAACTGCCATCCGGAGCACACGAGGAGCACGTCGCACCTTCCGCTCGACAAACCTGAAAGAAAGCACCACTCCGTGCTCAATACACAGTGTTTCGGGGAATTCACCCCTCATCAGTTGAGCTTGAGTAGGCTGAGGAAGATTGTGCCTGAAAAGCACATCTTATATACTGCTCTCCAGGCCAAGCCATCACCAGGGGTACAAACTTACAGAGACGCTTTGTTTCCAGTGCAACAAACACCTTGTAAAGCCCCAGGTGGCAGCGTGAGTCAGAGTCGCTCATGGAGTTGTGCTAAACAGGCAGAGAGTGGTGCTTACTTTCAGGTTTGCCGAGCGGAAGGTGTGACGTGCTCCTCGTGTGCTCCGGATGGCAGTCGTGAGTCAGTCAAGTGTCAAGTTCGGCAAGAAGCGTGTGCTCCTCGTTGGTGCAACTAACTTCATGACTAATACCGCCGAAGTCGCAACTTCTAAGTTCGTATTGTTGTCCCTCACGCGGACGTGCGACTAGTTGTTGGAGGTGAGTGTGTTGTGAATAGCTATACTGGCTCTCAACATCTTAACTGGCTCTCAACGACTTAAAATATAAGGAGAAAGGGTGGGGGTCAACTTACAACCTGGATTCGACTTATAACCGGGAACTATCAGTATCTTACAAAAAAAGGACACGCACTGCATGCACGAGTGCACTATGTGTACACAATTTTTCCAGTTTATTTGTCTTTTCCAGAATTGGGATGTTATAATCTCCAATAAGGAATGTTTATATGATTTGTTGATGTGTTAATAGCAGGGAGTGGTTAGTAATGCTTCTTTGGGTGAAAACTTAAAAACGCAGAATTGAGACCTCCGGATACGGGGTCGACCTATAACCGGGGTCGACTTAAAACCGGTCAAATACGGTACAAATTACGCTACTGTAGAGGCAGAAAATTTCGTCGGTCAATAATTTCGTCCAACTCCAAAGAAAAGGAGTTCGTCCGGTTGAAAATTTCGTCCACGGATCATAAGAGTGTATAGAAAAGCTGGACAAATCGATACTCGTCCTACATTTAATTTAGTCCAAAAGCTCCTTGGACGAAAAAGACGAAATTAAATTCCAGACGAATTTTTCTGCTTATACAGTATAATGTTCACCAACACCACTAGTTACTTAACAATCAGCTCACGAGATAAAATTGTACTTCCTCCGGAACAAAAACCTCGTGACTTGTTTCACTTCTTTTCGCTGGTGTTATTTCGCTCTTTGTCTCTGGTTTTGTCAGCCTGAAACACTGACATGACATTTCGGAATCGTAGGAAAGCATAATTCATATCCTGGAGAGCCGACAATCGTCGCAGAGCAAGGTTGTCGACGTTGCACACAAACCAAAGCGAACATGTTTTTCATTTTCGTCCACCAGGCGCAATACGAAGAAAAGCACTCCGCCCATGGCTCGTCGTTCAAATTTTCTAGTTCAGAACTTGTCAGAGCAGGACAATGGTACCCAGGAGCAACAAAAGTGGAAATGATTGGCAATAGCAGCTGGCATTTTGAAATCTTTGCCACCCCGAAACGCCTGTCGGCATGCGAACAGGTCGGCAAGATGTCAAAATCCAAGACACAGATGTGACAATCATGACTTCGCGCAGCGGAGCAAAATGAGCAAGTTCAAAATAGAAGTCGTTCAACCACTACAGAGCCCAGACCTCAACGTGGATGATCTCGCCTTTTCCAGCAGCTTCGATGATGTGTGCTTTGGTCGCAAAGGAGAACAGGCAAGATCTGATGGGGGCAGTCGGGAAGTGCTTGTACGACTAAGATATTTGAAATGTTTGGCTTTGCCTGTGTTTCTTATTCCGGGGCATCCTCGAGCGAGAACGGAAGCGGTAATGAGTACCAGCGCTGCAGCGCTACCATGGTCTCCGCCGAGATGTTAGAGGAGGCATTCAGGTAACAGCGAAGACGATCACGGACGCGGTGAAGCTTCTCCACGACATACGACATCGCGTCGATCGACCTGCCAATTGGAACCGTTTCAGCGGTGATGAGTCGAGTGATGGAGACCCAAACTGAGCCTCTACTCCCACTAATCAATCCTGTAGATATCGTATATATGTCGATTGAATGTGTTGAAGTGTTTCTCTTCCAAAAGACCACTTCTGTTGAGCACAGTATCTCCTTGAAAAGTCATATAAATAACGTCACGAAGTTTTTGTTTGCGGAGGAAGTAGTTTTTTTCTCCATAATTAATCCTTCGTTCTCATTCCGAGTCCATTTCTGCATGCCTTTAGTGTTCACGTACTATGCGTTAATTAAGCATGTCCCTCTCGAAACCAAAATTGCGATGTCATTCCAACTAATAGTAATTAACCAGTTTGATGGACAGATACAGCCGGAAAGTACTAAAAAATAGACAATCGCACCCAGGGCTCAGTTCAGAGACATTCATTTGAGGCGTGCTATGCTCACTCCACTTTAACTAATAATAACTCCCCGGGCCTTTTCTTTGGTATAATATGATATTTAAATTAGAGGAAATCACATCGAAAAGAGTTATGAAGCAACTATCCACGACTGTAACAAGATATTAAGCAGTCAGAAAGTCCGATAACAGGGCACAAAACCGACATGTTATTGAGACATTGCACGTCTTGAGACCTAACTCTCACAAACCTCCAGTGTGCAAACTAACAGCCTTCCACCTTGAATGGTTCAAGGTGACGGTAGGACCAATGAGGGGAAATAACGTGCAGCGAAAATGTGCATAAGCTAAGTGCCGCGGCAACAAAGAATGCCGACTTTCACAGGACCATGACGGTACTAACATGACAATTCGGTCCAACTGCAATTCTAAGCGGCAAACAACACACAAACTAACTTTGATGAGTCAGCAATATCAGAGATAAAGAAAGTGGAAAGCTTTGCAAAAACGAATTGTTCAAAACCAGACACCAGTATCTAACAGTACTCCTCATGCATGACAGTATTGTGAACGAGTTCACTATGGTAACAAATAGTTTCACACAACGTACGTTTCGCCGTATTGTTTGTATGGCCCCTCCTATGATTCACGTCATTGTGTTTAAACCTGGCTTGTGGTTTAGATGCAGATGAGTGCCTATATCAGACTCACAGTTGCAGCTCCAATGCTAACTGTACCAATACGGTTGGGTCCTACAACTGCACATGTAAATCTGGGTTTTCAGGTGACGGCACATCCTGCAAAGGTATGTCACCATTTTTTTCCCGTCGCTATGCAGAAGACGTAACTTCAGTATCGTCTGGCGCTAGCCAGGGTCCACACAGCTTTAATTTGGTATTTGTGTGTTTGTTTGTTTGCTTGTTTGTGTGTTTGTGTCACGCCTGGCGCTATCCCGTATCTGTCCCGTACCGTACCATCAAACACAGCTGGCCACATACAGCTGGCCGCAATATTCAAATAGGGCTTTCAAACGCAAGATCATAACGTGAAGCAACTTGGAAGAATGGGTATGAATGTGAAGTGTATGGGGAAATGCATGTAGGGCGATAGTGCGGGTTCGAATCAAAGGATATGACTGAAAAAATAGGAGAATTGAAAAATTTATACAACATACCTATGGTTTTTCTGCCGTCATCAAGGCGGTAGACGGTGTCGTATTACCCTGGATCTCGTTGTATGGCACGAGGGAAGCATGGATGCAGCGGATCGTATTTTCTGTCTTTGACACATTGGTGATGGGTGAGCTGTATTTGTGCCTTGGTCTTGGTGGGTGGTGGCATCCCAGCGGATGCAGAAAATTCGGTAAAACTTGTGAAACCAGAAACGTACACACTTTTTTTCCAGACCTCAAAGTTTTTGTCATCAATGAGTATGGCACGTGTTGTGAGCTGCATTTGGAGTGAAAAACGTGTCACTGGCTTTGTAGGGTCGGCTTGGTCCCATGCCTTAGATGGTGAGAGCTTTGGTCAAGTTTTGTATTTGATACCTCACGAACAAGCACTTCCTTTGAACTTACTGTATTGCAGGCAAAAACGCTCCTGTTCTTGGTGTGACTTGAAAAATCTTCTCTAACATACTGTGCGTCTTGTGTTTCAATGTTGTCCGAAATTCTCAACATACGAATTCCGTGGGAACTGGAGGATTAACTAAATTTATATCCTCATCACTGACATCAGGCTCATGCTCATTATTCCAACAAGAGAATACATCTTGACTCTTCCCTTCAATAATTATTCGCTCCAAAGAAGTCCAAGCAATGGACGACAGATAACTCGAAAACAAGAATGATTTCATTTTACAAGAGCATAGCAAAAAAGGAACAGCATACGCACACAAAGGGGTGCGCGCGTATGTAGAACAAGTTATACGTGCACACGTTACACGTATCTGTGTCCGCTGAAGAAGTTACCGGTACGCAGAAACAGTTACGTAGTATGAGACACACACTACAAACGAGCGTCTGCAATAGCCAAACGGAATGAAAACCGGTAAATAAATATCTGAGAAGACTGTAATTTTAATGTAAGTTAGTTGGTGACTTCAGACAAATAAGAAATAAATGAATAAATAGATTCTTGAACTTTCTAGCGAAATGAGCATTTCCTACACTCCCCCCCAATTGGCCAGTTATGGACAATTGTGAGTAGACCCAAATTAAATGCAGTTATTAGTGATCAGCGCTTGTCTCATCTCATTTGCGTGAGCAGCTGCGCGTCTCTGCGATCTTGGTCGGCTTGCTGGAGCGTCTTCATGCTGCTCAACGTCAACCTGCTGACTGTTAGACAACTCTACGGGATAGAGGCGCTGGACTGGTCTCTTCAAGTAATGGCGCTCCGGATGTGTAGTGGTCCGGCATAGTCAACTCCCACGTAGCTGAATGGAGTAGTCTGCTCTACCCGGAATCTTGGTAGCGGAGGTGCTTTGGGTCCTGTGTATGGCTTCGAGTAGTGGCGACGACAAGTTCTGCAGCTGTGAATAATTTGACGTATCCGTTGACGTCCCTTCACGAACCAGAAACGTGCGCGAAACTCCGTTAGTGTGGCCTTGACCCCACCATGCATGACTCGGGCATGGCACTCATTAACAATCAGGTCAGTCACGTGGTGATCCTTCGGCAGAAGGTACGGGTGCTTGGTTGTCAGAGGCAAATCAGAGTTCTGGAGTCGGCCACCGCAGCGGATGAGACCGTTGTCCACAAACAGACCGAATTCTGCCTGCCAAGACTTGTAGTGCTGATGAGACGGGAGCGCAAGTTGAAGATGGTTGATCCACAGCTTCTCGGCGAGATCTAAATCTCCAGCCGTGAGTTCGCTCTCACTCTCTTGCCGTTTAGACTTGAAGCGCTGTACGGCCTTCAGCACTGTAGCTGTCACTCTCAGAAGTCGGTTGTAATTGCTGAAACGGGTACAGTCGATGACCAGTCCGATGTCTGACGATGGATGTGTCGTTGTCAGTAAGGCGGCTGAGTTGTCGACGACTTCCATTTCTCTTCGGCGCATCTCTGCACGGCACTCCTCGGGCATGCTACTAGCGCTGATTTCCTGTCTGTCTTCTGTCTCCACGGGTTCAATGATGCCGGTACGCAGCTGCTCTTCGATGGTGTCATTGTAGGACTTGAGCAGCTCAGGATCCTTGCGGAGCCTTTTGTGGAGACCGACGAGTCTGGACTTGCAGAGTTGGAAATTGTCCGGCAACAATGGATGATCGTCCTTCCATGGTAGTCTGACCTCATACCGACCATTGTTGAAATCGATTGTCTCAACGAGTTCTTCATACTCCGTCTTGTCCTGGTCTGCAAGTGATTCAATTTCCCAGAACCTTTGCAGGGAGTCAGTGAGCTCTCGATCTGCTGCTGATGCCTCTTCCTCGACGGAGAAAACGTGCGTTGCCAGTGCACTGGTATCTTCTGGCGTGGGAAGTACGGTGGCTGGACCGGATAGGACCCACCCTAGCTTTGTCTCAATGGCCACAGGTCCGTCGGCACCTCGGATGATGTTACCCGTTGCAATAGTCCAGTAGAGGTCCGCGCCGATTAGCAGATCCACTGATCGAGTACCTGTGTCATATCTGGTGTCGGCTAGCGCCAATCCATCGAGGTGACTACAGCGCTCCACTGACGTGTGCATGGATTGGCCAGTAATCGGGTCACACAATAGCGGCACAGCATAGGCTTGTACCGTGATGTCCTCGCCGTCGGGGACTCGGATTCCATGTTGAACTACATCAACTACTTGGGACGTTGTGTTGTCCTGGCCGAACGCCTTGATGATGACCTTACGTTGATCCAGGACCGGCAGTTGCAAAGCGTCACGGAGAGCGCTCGTAACATACGTCCGTTGGCTGCCGCCGTCCTTCAACAGTCGGATAGCGGCACTGCGATCGGACTGGGTGACATTATAAGCCACGGCCTTGGCGGTCTGTAGCAATACAGATTCCTGTCTGCGAGGGTCCACGGAAGCATTTGCAGCAACAGCCTGCGTGTTCATCTCTGCCTTCTGCTGCCTCTCGCCACTACATATGGCAACGTTGTGGCTCCCACCACACTTGACACAGGAGTATGCATTCGGACAGGTCTTTGCCATGTGATTGCGTTTGAGGCATCGGAAGCACCTGCCTTGCTTCCTCAAGATCTGTCTACGGGTGGCAACATTCGTCACTGTTACGCATCTCCCGGCAGTGTGACTATCATTGCAAAAGAAGCACTTCAGTTGCTCAGGCGCACCAGTGTAGAGTGTTGACGTTGTGGCTGGTGCGGACTTTCTGGGTTGGGCTATCGGGATGGTTGGCTTAGCTGCCGGTGCCGCTCGCTCCCTGGCACACAGCTCCAGATGGACAGCCGATAGCAGCTCACCGATCTCCCAATGCTGCTCAGTCCCGACAATCTTGCGGCTGACAATGAGCCGGAACTCTGCGGGTAATCGGGACATCAAAACAGACGTCAACAGGGATCCATAAGACTCGCGACTCATCCCGAGGGACTGTAAACTACGAATGTGTGTCTCAACGGTGGTGTATAGCTTCCTGAGGCCAGTTACATCATCCTCGCTGGTGACAGAAGCAACATTCAAGAGGCCCTCCATGTGGCTGGCGACAATGACCTGGACGTTGCCGAATCGTTGCTTGAGGACGTCAACTACAGCCCTGTAGTTGGCTCCTGTCAGGGCAAATCCGGCAATTGCCTCTCGTGCCTCTCCCACTACCAAGGACTTTAGGTAGTTGAACTTATCAACGTCATCCAGGGTGTCATTGCCATCAATGGCCGACCCAAACATGTCCCAAAACGAGGACCAAGCTCGGATGTCACCGCTGAACTTAGGAATCTCGAGCTTGGGCAGCTTCATCCGGTGGTGGAAGCTGCTTCCACTACTGGCACTCGTACTAGATACTACACTGGAACGCGAGACACACGGGGCGACAACTGGCGAGTCCTCACCAGTCTCATCTGGAGCTGGTTCCCGACTGTCCAGATTGCCCTTGGCTTTGCTTGTTGTGCAGCACTCATCCTTTCCGGAAACGGGTGACAGTGACTCTGACTTTGGCTGTGAGGATTGGGAAGCCCGTACACTGGCGATATTCTCCAACAGTTGACTTGCGTCTGAAATGGCTCGCGTAGCCCTGCCGATGCGGGACTCGTACTTCATAAGATAATCCGCTGCATCACAAATTTCAGATTCAATGTCGTCGTCCTCGGTGGCGTCCAAAATTTGGGAGTCCAAGCGCCCCAGCAAATCCACTTTCTCCCGGAGTTTCTTCAGGTCCAAGGCACAATCCTCTCTATCATTTACGCTGAGATCTTCCCCTTGCCACTCGGGTGAGCTCCTCGTAGCATAGGACATCCTCTCCACAAAATCATCGATTCTAGATACCAATTTGGAGGCAGCTGACCGATGTGCTCCACGCAATCGAACTAACGGTTGGACCGACACTGTTGTCGTCTTTGGCTGATCCTCAGACTCCGTCTCGGCCATAATCACAAATCAAATTTCTCGGGCTCGTGTTGAAGCTCGAAGGACCATGTACGAAATTCTCAACATACGAATTCCGTGGGAACTGGAGGATTAACTAAATTTATATCCTCACCACTGACATTAGGCTCATGCTCATTATTCCAACAAGAGAATACATCTTGACTCTTCCCTTCAATAATTATTCGCTCCAAAGAAGTCCAAGCACTGGACGACAGATAACTCGAAAACAAGAATGATTTCATTTTACAAGAGCATAGCAAAAAAGGAACAGCATACGCACACAAAGGGGTGCGCGCGTATGTAGAACAAGTTATACGTGCACACGTTACACGTATCTGTGTCCGCTGAAGAAGTTACCGGTACGCAGAAACAGTTACGTAGTATGAGACGCACACTACAAACGAGCGTCTCCAATAGCCAAACGGAATGAAAACCGGTAAATAAATATCTGAGAAGACTGTAATTTTAATGTAAGTTAGTTAGTGACTTCAGACAAATAAGAAATAAATGAATAAATAGATTCTTGAACTTTCTAGCGAAATGAGCATTTCCTACAAATGTGGCTTGTGGTTTAGATCGCGATGAGTGTCTACATCAGACCCACAATTGCAGCTCCAATGCTGCCTGTACAAACACTGTTGGGTCCTACAACTGCACATGTGACTCTGGGTTTTCAGGTGACGGCAAATCCTGCAAAGGTATGTTACAATTGGCTTCTATTCGATGTACCCACGTACCTCAGTCTGTACGAGATGTACATGTATTTCTGGCGTAAAGCCGGGTTTTACCTCCGCTTTAACCCTGGTTTTGCTCAGCGTTCCGCTCCACTGAATGTATTATCAGGCAATGGTGCTAGCTTTATATGGACTAAGAGTAGTGATGCGGCATTGAAGCCTATGAAGCGGTCACCGACAACAGCCCCAGTGTTTACCGTATCCTGACTTGTCTGTCTCGTCTGACAGCCTTGTTCTAGATACTAATTTAAACAAGGTGGCCATTGAAGCTTTCCTCTGTCAAATTCAAGGGGGCGAGGAACACCCCCGTTGCCTTTGACAGCCGGATATTGACGAATGTATAGAGAAACTACAATGTGTCAATGGGGAAACGCTTTCCCTTGTGCATTTTGCCGATCAGTTCCAGCACTATTTGCTATGTGGAAATTTCATCGACCGTACCGATAACACTCCAACCACGGCGGTAATGTCTGTTTTAACCCTAGAGCTACCAAAATGTAGGTGCACTATCTTGGAGACCAGCAGCTGGCATTCCGCTCAGTGAGAGGGCGACCTCTCGTCTGTTTACGGAAAAATAAACGAGCATTTGCTTGCCATGCTCATCCTGCAAACTCTACATTTCAGTCCATTACCCCGGAAATGGCTGCTGCTGGGCAAACGTGCTGGATTTTTCTCAGCCAGGTTGGTCTTTCTTTGACTGCTGTGGTAAATACATTTACGAGTGAAAGGAGAACGTGGTGTCGCAACTCATAGCGAACGAATAATTTCCGTTCGACGTCTTGTCCGGAGACCATCTTCGTGATCAAACCTCGATTAGCAGAGTAGTTCCTGGAAACCATTTTTAGGGATTTTACTTGATTATATGGTGTCCATTCTTATCCAGCCGAAGGACCGTGGGCAGATTATTGCGGGTACAGAGGACGCCTCTTGCATAAATTTGCCATATTGCCTTCACTCAAAATAGTGTCCTCGCCAATTTTCTGTGTTCCCTCCTACCTTGTGCACTTGATCATGGCATGGATCATATTCTGGTCAATAAATACAAATAACGCATCTGCCCAATCTTCAAAATTGTGAATATCTCGGAAAAGCCCGCAAACTTCGGAAGCAACAACAGGTTGCGCGCGTTCGCGCTTGCTTGGTGCAACACATTTTCCACTATCTACCAACTTTTCAAGAGAACCCAGCTTACTCCTGCCTGAGTGTTGGCCATTGATGTTCTGTTATGTGTATGGCTCCATGGCTTTATCACCACCATTATCCGCTTGCTCCCTCGACCCTGGTCCCGTATCAGCCTGATCGAGAAGCCGGAGCAATTAGTATTCACTCATCTTCATCTGGAGCATATAACTATGTGTCTCTGTGTTTGGTCACTTCTAATTGCTCGCGCACAATGCTCCAGGCACTCTCCTCGCATTTATCCCCAAACTCCTGTCCAAAAAATGTCAAAATCAAATGAAATGCTTTATCGGCAGTGACACTGCGCCTACTGAACATGGCTTCCACCAGACCAACGTAAACTCAAAGAACATTCTTAGAATATTATAACTGCCCTGGCACTTCATATGGTTCTATGCTGCAGATGACATTGTGAATCACTTTCCAAACTTAGGACTAACAAATTTGCCTGTTTCGACAGGATTCGGGATTACGATATTGACCATAACGGCACGTGAAATGTGCATATTAGCAAGTCCATATGTACAAATCACCACCTTCATGGTCCCCAATCTCCTTGCTTCCAAATTTATTCCTCTTCACGTTATTCACTTGTGGTTCTAAGCCAAATTCGCCCTTTTATTGATGCCTATGGTATGTGGAGTCATATTATGCCGCGCTGTAATAATGTATTATTCTAGGTAGCACCCCTGGCATTACGGAATTGTACTTAATTTTTGAAAATACAATCCATTACCATTAACAAAATGCAAAATAAATAAAAGTCACAAACTTTGGGGAGATTCGAATCCCTATCTAACGGAAATCTCATTTTGAAATTCGCAAATGCTTCACATGATGCCTCCGGTACTTCTAGGGAAAAGGAAATACGGGGCCGCAAAGCTCGGCAGGTGGAGCAAGCCTTGGACTATAGCTCCACTGCTGTTCACCGGCCGGGTCAGCAGCACTTGAATCTAAATGGGCTATCGTTTTCCTTGTTGTCGGAGGCGCATCGATCCCATCTCAAGACTTCTGCAGAGCAGCCGGAGCAAGCTAGTTTCCCTGCTGCAACGGCATCTGTGGTAGTCACGACTCCTGTATTCGCTGGCCTCTCTGCAACTGAGTTTGCTGCTGCCGGCAAATCGGCGGATGTCGACCTCTCAGAGCCCATCTTGCTTGCAGTGCTGCACTGCCTGCTCGGTTTACTGGTTTTGTTATGTCGAGAGTTTTTTTGTGCTGCTTTATTTCTCTATTCTTGAGGGCGTGAATATTTGGTAGGAGCAGGATAGTGTAGTATGGCTACTTATCACACGTAATTTCTATACACATAAATAGTACACCACAGCCGGAATGCATGGATAGCTGTACGCATACTCGCACTACCTTGGTCTTCTTCTTCTCCGTGTGAAACGATGAACACTGATGATAATTTACGTCACTGCAAGCATGTGCTTTGCGAGTATTGAGTGCGGAGAGTATACGGGTTACAAATGCTCACGTTTTGTAATTTATACGTCACGTACAGAAACTGCCTTTCAACTTACTGTAATGCAGGCAAAACCGATCATGCTCTTGGTGTGACTTGAACATTCTTCCCTACCATGATGTGCATCTTGTGTTTCAACGTGGCTTGTGGTTTAGATCGAGATGAATGTCTATATCAGACCCACAATTGCAGCTCCAATGCTACCTGTACAAACACGGTTGGGTCCTACAACTGCACATGTGACTCTGGGTTTTCAGGTGACGGCACATCCTGCAAAGGTATGTTGCAACTGTTTTTTTTTATTCGAGGTACCCAAGTAAGGGAGGGTGCCATAATGCGAGGAATCCAACGAACCTTATTCACAATGTTTTCTGTGTATTCATAGCTGCTCCTCAACCAAAATTGCATTCTCTATACCCTCCCATAGCATTTTGCTGCTTCTGCATGCACCACCGCATTTGTTAGCACAGTACACGCTCCCTGCTCCCCGCCCTGGTATGGCACTTTGAACACTGTGATTCGCAAGCTAACCCACCACCACCTGGCCAAAGCACTGGCAAACAAGAGCAGGAATAATGAGAGCACGTTTGTGGCAGGGTTTTGTTTAAAACAGAAGAAACCACATTGGAACGAGTTATAAAACAACTGTCCACGACTCTAATAAGATAATAAGCAGCCAGAATGGGTGTTTACGGGAATGTCTTTCAAATATATGATAGGGTCAGTTACGGGGTTATGGATGCATTCTATTTCAATCCTTTGTCCTCAAATCCTGATGAGAGATTGGTGGCTGCAATTGGGAGCACATCACAAACAACAACGAAGAAGGTATGCTCCCCTGAAACGAGTTATGAAGCAACTACCCACGACTGAAGCAGGATAATAAGCACTCCGAAAGTCCGATAACAGGGCACAAAATCGACATGTTAGTGAGACATTGCACGTCCTGAGACCCAGCTCTCACAAACCTCCAGTGTGCAAACCAACAGACTTCCAGCTTGAAAGGTTTAAGGTTACGGTAGGACCAATTAGGGGAAGGTACGTGCAGCGAAAATGTGCACAACTAAGTGCCGCGGCAACAAACAATGCCGACTTTTACAGGACCATGACGGTACTAACATGACAATTTGGTCCAACTGCAATTCTAAGCGGCAAACAACACACAAACTAACTTGGTTGGGTCAGCAATATCAGAGATAAAGAAATTGGGAAGCTTTGCAAAAAGGATGTGTTCAAAACCGGACACCAGTATCTAACAGTACTCCTCATGCATGACAGTATTGTGAACGAGTTGACTATGGTAACAAATAGTTTCACACAACGTACGTTTCGCCATATAGTTTGTATGGTCCCTCCTATGATTCACGTCATTGTGTTTAAACCTGGCTTGTGGTTTAGATGCAGATGAGTGTCTATATCAGACTCACAATTGCAGCTCCAATGCTAACTGTACCAATACGGTTGGGTCCTACAACTGCACATGTAAATCTGGGTTTTCAGGTGACGGCACATCCTGCAAAGGTATGTCACCATTTTTTTCCGTCGCTATGCAGAAGACAGTACTTCAGTAACGTCTGGCGCTAGCCAGGGTCCACACAGCTTTAATTTGGTGTTTGTTTGTTGGTTTGTTTGTGTCACGGCTGGAGCTATCCCGCATCTGTTCCGTATCTGTCCCGTATCTGTGACTGCAAAGGCTCTACAGGATTGTACATAACAGCTGTCCACAATATTTGCGGGCTCCTGTGTATGTCCCGTACCGTACCAATATTCGTCGTATTATGTATACGACTCCCTAATGTAGAGGGAGATTTGGAAAGAAATAGGGAGACGAGAAGGAAATTAAATTAGAATAGACGCCGAATAGGTGATAGGATGCGTCAGCATAAACATACTTTGGAACAGAGATCCCGTCGTCTCCAAAATAAGCGTGAACGAGCAATTCAGCGCTGGTCACAGGAAACGTCGGAAGAGAGATCCTGTCGACTCCAGAACGCCCGTGATCGGCAGAGTCCGCCGGTCCCAGGCAACGTCAGGACAGACATCCCGTTGAGTCCAGAACGCCTGTGATCGGCAGTGTCTAAGCCGGTCCCAGGAAACGTCAGGACAGACATCCCGTCGAGTCCAGAAAAACTAAATCTGCAGCCTTTTTTGCCGTCGGACAGGATACGTATTTTAGGAGACTGTAAAGTTATGTAATGTGCTCCACAGGCAACCATGCATTCGGCGTCGTCATTGGCTCAACAGGTCAATGTACATGTATTACTACAAAAAGGCCAGAAAATCCGGTTACTGTATTAAAACCAACTAATTTTCGCTGGCGATTTAATTTCGCTGAATTCGCCGCTCGGTACCAACCGGCCAAAGTAAATCGCAGGCCAAAGTTTGTCATATAGGCAAATGATGCATGATTGAGCAATGGATGCATGTGAGAGCAAAAATACCGATCGATTTCAAATTTGACGTGAAATTGCGCGTCACGTCGGGAATAACGTGCATCTTAACCTCTCTAATAGAGAGGTTTCTATTTCTCATCGGCCAAAATTTGTTGATTTACAGTATAAGGAGATAAAAAGAAAAGAAGGAGCAAACCAAAAGTAGATGATTATTAGAGAAATAACAATCCGTAATAAATTCTGCAAATACTTTTGCCTAACTCATAATATTCAAACCGATTGAAACGTTTTTGCAATACAGTGATGTTGTGAATCAATGGAAAAAGATATTTCCATCAGTTCTTATAACATGTACGATGAGCTAGGCAAAAAAGCATAAAAGCATATGTAGGGCCCTGAGCTTCCAAGCTCTCTCGTTTGGTATTTGTGTGTTTGTTTGTTCGTTTGTTTGTGTGTTTGTGTCACGCCTGGCGCTATCCCGTATCTGTCCCGTACCGTATGTATATAATATAACCTAACCAGTTGATTATATGGGAAATATAAACCTGTATACAAACCGAGGCGAAGCCGAGGTTTGTATATTGGTTTATATTTCCCATATAATCAACTGAGTAGGTTATATTATGCTTATACTGAGCTGATATACAAACTCCCCTCTCCCCCACAAGGGTAGAGATTGGAATTCCAACCCACAACCATGGCTCGACGAGTCTTCCTTTCACCAACCTGTGCGGCTCAAGTACAAGACTACCACTGACTCTGTGCAGTGCATGCAGTGTGCTAGTGCAGTACCATCACACACTCTTTGTGACTTCAGTTTAGTAGTAGTACTGTCTACTGAAGTACTAGTTACATCGGAAGTAACAGCTATGCGCCAAGTAAGTAACATAGTTAGTTTGAACCTCACAGTGCTAGTGACCGTTACCGCGCGCAGATCTCACCGCGCGCGGGCTCTGTAAAAGAACCGTTTGCTCATTAGACTTTAGAGACATAGAGTTCGTCTCCTTTCCAAAGTAAGAGTAAAATGAATCAGCACGAGCCTGTTGAATCGACTCCCAAACGTTTCTTCTGAGGACGACCACGAATCACGACGCCATTATTCAAGCAGCAGTTTCTAAGAACACTGGCAGTGCCACGGATTATGGCTGCGCATGTTCCGTCCGCTCTGCGAGGGACGCGGAAAGGAGAACATCGATTGGAAAACCATCAGTAGTGAAGTTCCGTCGCCCCTGCTATCTGCATTCTATGTCCATGCAAAAACGCAGGAGGAGCGGCACGCGGGGCTCTTCAGCCGCACATGTCGAGTGCTGCGCTTGACAGACGGAGTGCTGAAACAGCGAAAGAAGGACAGCCTCGAACGCCAGGTGCAGCACAAGGCACATGTTACAAAGGACGACGTTGTATTCTTCATCGTTGACGGGAAAGAGATCCTGAACGGCTGAAGTTGGGACCGTCGTGCATGTCGAAAAACCATCAAGGCGGACTGCAGGTCACTAGTGTAATCCTAAAAAAAAAGGAGTTTATATACCAGTTTATACACCAGTTTATATACCAGTTTATATACCAGTTTATATACTAGTTTATATTCTCGTCATCGAAGTACCTGTTATATGCAAAATACAAGTCTGGAGTGTTGTGTGGGGAGAGATGGGAGTTTGTATACAAGCTCAGTATAACGTACCATCAAACACAGCTGGCCACATACAGCTGTCCGCAATATTCAAATATTGGTATTGGTATTGGTATTAATTTATTTGAATTTGGTATCTCTACAGTACAAATAGTGCTTTCAAACGCAAGATCATAACGTGAAGCAACTCGGAAGAATGGGTATGAATGCGAAGTGTATGGGGGAATGCATGTAGGGCGATAGTGCGGGTTCGAATCCAAGAATATGCCTGAAAAAAAATAGGAGATTTGAAAAATTTATAACATACCTATGGTTTTTTTGCCGTCATCAAGGCGGTAGATGGTGTCGTATTACCCTGGATCGTACCTGTCCCGTACCTATCCCGTGCCGTACCATCAAAGACGGTTGGCCACAATGCATATTCAAATAGGGCTTTCAAATGCAAGATCATAACGTCAAGCAACTTGGAAGAATTAGTATGTATGCGAAGTGTATCGGGGGATGCATGCAGGGCGCGCGATAGTGCGGGTTCGAATCCCAGGTTATGTTTAAAAAAAGGAATTTTTTAAAGAATTTATAACATCCCTATGCTTTTTTGTCTAGGTCATCAAGCCAAAAAAAGCATAGTGTAGGGCCCTGAGCTTCCAAGCTCTCTTGTAATTCACGGTATCCAAGTAAGTATTAAAGGGCACGATAATAAGAAGAGTCCAATGGAGCGTTAATGATCGTTTAACTTAAACATCAACGTAGAGAGCTGAGAGCTGTTTGAGCCGACAGCTGGGATTATCTGCTACCTGCTAGGTGTTTCGATACCGGGATTATTAGGGTAAATATGCCCCGATTTTTAGGGTTAAAACGTACAGATTTAGGGTTAAATCGCAAAATTTAGGGTTAAAACACCCCAGTTATTAGGGTTAAATCGCATTACGTCATCGATGACGCCATGTGTAAAACGCTCCGTTTTTGGTTAAATCGCAAAAGTTTACAGTAAATCAGAAAAAAATAGGGTTAAAACGCCCCGGTTTTAGGGTTAAATCGCTATGACGTCATCGATGACGTCCGTGAGTTAGAACACGCCTACTACTACACCACAGCCGGAATGCATGGATAGCTGTACCAAGAGTACATAAAGCAGAGTGTGCAACTCGGGATGGTTCCTGTGGGAGCGTAATTCAAGCACTTTGTCATTTCTGACGGCATGGTAAGCCACAGGTACGGTGAAAAGTTGCATAACCAGTCGCGGTGGTGCAGTTCACTGAGTTTGTCCTGATTTCGGTTTTTTGAGACGGATATCCTGGTGACTTTACTTGTCGGTGGATGTACGCAGCGTACACAGTCACACAAAACACCGAAATCCTGAAACAGGACGTTTAAAATCAAGCAAACTTGGCTGATTTCCAGGCTAAGAAACATGAAAACTCGAGCTGTACGCAAGTCGCGGCTTGGCTGGCCTCATCAGGGTGACGTAGTGCACGAACTGCGCTATTTCAGATCTGATATGCACAGTTGCACACTCTGGTTTATGTACTCTTGGCTGTACCCATACTCGCACCACCTTGGTCTTCTTCTTCTCCATGTGAAACGATGAACACTGATGATAATTTACGTCACTGCAAGCATGTGCTTTGCGAGTATTGAGTGCGGAGAGTAGACGGGTTACAAATGCTCACGTTTTGTAATTTATACCTCGCGTACAGACACTGCCTTTCAACTTACTATATTGCAGGCAAAACCGTTCATGCTCTTGGTGTGACTTGAACATTCTTCCCTGCCATGATGTGCATCTTGTGTTTCAACGTGGCTTGTGGTTTAGATCGAGATGAATGTCTATATCAGACCCACAATTGCAGCTCCAATGCTACCTGTACAAACTCTGTTGGGTCCTACAACTGCACATGTGACTCTGGGTTTTCAGGTGACGGCACATCCTGCAAAGGTATGTTGCAACTGTTTTTTTATTCGAGGTACCCAAGTAAGGGAGGGTGCCATAATGTGAGGAATCCAACGAACCTTATTCACAATGTTTTCTGTGTATTCATAGCTGCTCACCGCATTTGTTAGCACAGTACACGCTCCCTGCTCCCAGCGCTGGTCTGGCACTTTGAACACTGTGATTCGCAAGCTAGCCCACAACCACTTGGCCAAAGCACTGGCAAGCAAGAGCAGGAATAATGAGAACAAGTTTGTGGCAGGGTTTTGTTTAAACAGAAGAAACCACATTGGAACGAGTTGTGGAACAACTGTCCACGACTCTAATAAGATAAAAAGCAACCAGAATGGGCTTTTTCAAGGATCTCTTTCAAATGTTTTTATAGGGTCAGTTATGGATGCAAAGTTATTCAAAGTTAAAGTTATGGATGCATTCTATATCAATCCTTTGTCCTCAAATCCTGATGAGAGATTGGTGGCTGCAATTGCGAGCACATCGCAAACAAAAACGAAGAAGGTATGCTCCCCTGTGATTGAAACTGGGTCTACTGTGTTCGTGTGGGTCTGTTTGCCACGCCTCGGCCGTAGGCGAGTTGCTGCTTTTGACAATATCCTAATGGTTACATGTTGTTTGATGTGAGTGCTCATGAGCTCAGCGATTCTACCAACATATCGGCCATCGCAGTGCCGACATTCAACTCAATACATCATACACCTTTAGTGTTTATAAAAATAAAAAGGACCAAGGAACTACACTTTACGCTATAATGTCCACTAACACCACCAGTTACTAAACAATCAGCTCATGCGATAACATTGCATCAATTATTTTGATAAATTAAAGGCTCTCCATCCGTGTTCATTCCTGCACGCCTTTAGTGTTCATTCCAATTAATTTGAAATATTTCACCTAATTGTGTCAGGTATAATGTGTTAATTAGGCTTGTCCCTCTCTCCTTCAACGTTGCAATGTAATTCCAACTAATAGTAATTCACGCATTGAGTGGCACCTCAAAGGGTTAACCGATTTGATGGACAAATACAACCGGGAAAGACTTAATAAAATCGACAGTACACAGCCAGGGCTCAGTTCAGGGACCTTCGCCTGATGCCAGCTATGCTAAATCCACTTTAACTAATAATAACTCCCCGGGTCTTTTTTTCGGTGTAATAATTATATTAAAATAGAGGAAATCACATTGAAACGAGTTATGAAGCAACTATCCACGACTGAAGCAAGATAATAAGCAGTCAGAAAGTCCGATAACAGGGCACACAACCGACCTGTTAGTGAGACATTGCACGTCCTGAGACCTAGCTCTCACAAACCTCCAGTGTGCAAACCAACAGCCTTCCAGCTTGAATGGTTCAAGGTTATGGTAGGACCAATGAGGGGAAGGTACGTGCAGCGAAAATGCGCACAAGCTAAGTGCCGCGGCAACAAAGAATGCCGACTTTTACAGGACCATGACGGTACTAACATGACAATTTGGTCCAACTGCAATTCTAAGCGGCAAACAACACACAAACTAACTTTGATGGGTCAGCAATATCAGAGATAAAGAAAGTGGGAAGCTTTGCAAAAAGGAATCGTTGAAAACCGGACACCAGTATCTAACAGTACTCCTCATGCATGACAGTATTGGAAACGAGTTGACTATGATAACAAATAATTTCGCACAACGTACGTTTCGCCATATAGTTTGTATGGTCCCTCCTATGATTCACGTCATTGTGTTTAAACCTGGCTTGTGGTTTAGATGCAGATGAGTGTCTATATCAGACTCACAACTGCAGCTCCAATGCTAACTGTACCAATACGGTTGGGTCCTACAACTGCACATGTAAATCTGGGTTTTCAGGTGACGGCACATCCTGCAAAGGTATGTTACAATTTGTTTTAATTCACGGTAAACATCGACGTTGAGAGCTGAGAGTTTTTTGAGCCGACAGCTGGGATTCTCTGCTACCTGCTAGGTGTTTCGATTATGAAATTCAGTTGAGATTTAGTGGAGTCACGATCAATAGACCACTTTCTTGTGTGCGGACCTATTCGCACCAGTCGTTATCGACGGGAGTACACTAAAAGATGAAACTAAATTAAGAACTGCCCGAACAGTTCTACTAGAATTGGTCTCACTTTAGCGGAAATCCGATGAATATGTAACGTTACCACGCATTGCGGTTTCTTTAGGGGTTTATCTTTGGCACACGTTTCATCATTAAATTTTATTATTCCTGTTCTGCACGCTTACGTTTGTTCAAGCGCAGAGCCCTGTTCTACACTATGTTATTTCTTTGCCCGCCTATTGTTCATCACACCTTATAAAGCTTTGGTATTAAGGATATTCTGGAATCTCTCTCGGCAGGCGAACACTTTTGGGAATACTATAAAATTGTACCATGGAAAATCTTGGGCATAATTGTTTGATTAGTCCATCAACTGAACCAGATTTTGAACAGTCAGATGTGCAACAGTCAGACATTAATGTAAATTCCAAAGACGGGAAGGCAAACACCATCGAGCCGACCACAAGCTACATTCTAAGACTTTATGGAATGAACTAATATCCATGAACCTTCCAAATTGGCAATGGCAGGTATAGTGGGATGGTCTAAGACCATGATTGAGAAACAGAGGGTACCAGGTTCAAGTCCTGCTAGTAAGCTAAAGGATTTTTCCAGCCCTGCTGCAACCCACAGTTAATTGGGAACTCATTGTAGGGCACGAGGGAAGCATGGATGCAGCGGATCGTATTTTCTGTCTTTGACGCATTGGTGATGGGTCTATTTACTCAACTCCCACCGTTTAAGGAGCTGCATTTGTGCCTTGATCTTGGTGCGTTGTGGCGTCCCAGCGGATGCAGAAAATTCAGTATCCAGCCGATTCTCACCCGAACCGCCAATCTTTCTTTTTTCTTTCTTTCTTCCAAGTTGGAAAGCCGTTTGTTAGCGCTATCAAGCAGCTCTCAAGCTGACTTTCATGCCGTGGAATGTCCCAATACTCTCTGCCAGCTTTGTACTAGAATATGCACGTCTGGCGTTTCAAAATCTGGTTCAGTTGGTGGACTCGAGAGCATAACTTGTCCCCACATTTGTCCATGTTACTATCGGAATCCGATAAAATTAAAAATTACATGTACATGTACATCAATCTAGCGATGTTCCAAATTGGCCCACTGATATGGTAACAGTCCAGTGTGCGGCACTCTTAGTCTAGCATGCATTTGCCTAACTCAGATGCACAAGCGCTTTGAGATGAATAAGATGCTGCAACATGATACAAACACTGCTAAGTCTTGCCCGGCAATCTTGTGCAAGATACTTTACTTCCTTCGCACCAGCCAAAAGACGCTTATCTTCCGGCACAAATCTGAAATGGGGAGGAGACAAGTAATCTGATACCCCGAAATAGAGTGGCTGTCTAGGGTCTTGGTTAGATTATCTGCGGTATTGCAGCATGCCTTGGGGTGGTTGGCATGTAGAAACAGGTTGGCTGGGCTGTACACGCATATACGCTTTTAGTTGCCGTATGTTCACTGGACTGCCGCACCTGCGCATCGGTCCACAAAAAACGTTGTAAACAATGAACTAGGGAATTTAATTCTGTTCAACTCCCCTTTGGTGAGAACCGAGTGGAAATATATGTATCGAGTATTCTGGTCATTCCTAACAGTTAGTTGGAATCTCTGACATTACGACGGCTACCAATCAGCTCTGCTGAGTCTTTGGGGCAGCTAAACTACTTCAGGCGAACTAAAAAATAATTTTTATTGTATTGCTTTTATTTTACATCGCAAGTCAAACGAGCAATCATGCCCAATGTTATGATGGCGATGGAAAGGGAGAAAAGATTAAGAACAAGATTATTTATCCTGGATTATGGGGAGTGAAGAAAACCGTGAGTCTAGGAATCTCTCCTTAGATCATCAACATTGGTCATGAACGTAGACTTTCAATGGACGTGAGAGTTGAGATGTGCCAGGTCAGGCCAACTAGAGGGGAATGCTAGGCTGTGAGATTCCGAAGTACATCTATTCTGTGTTTTTTTGTGATTTGGCAAAGGTCTAAAGCTCGCCATCTCAAACTTGGTTGACCAGATGGGCGTATACATTTACAGAACAAATTGCCGAGCCCAGGCCAATCTTTACATGCACAGACAGACGCCGCTTATCCAGGTTTTTTTCCCTGCCATCCGGAAGGAAATCGCTGATCAACAAATCACAGCATATGGCGCACACGACATAATCTGATCCAGCGATACTCAGACTTGTTCGATTTGTTATGTAAAAATAGCGTATAAAAGAGGTCCAAATGGCTCCATCGTATCCAGTTTCCATATGGCATGCAGAAAGAAAACAGATGAGTCGTACAAAGGATAGGGATTTGAAGGACTCACTGATTTACTGGCTCCATGCTCTCAGTTGAATGCGTTGGTAATGTTTTTAGCTTCTCTTCTTTTCTTCAATCCAAACACGAAAACAGTCTCTCCGCTGCAAATGTTCGCCACTTGATCATCACCTGGATGAAACAGTGGGGACTTTTTGCTAACGATTTAAGGAGGTTACGGGTTTGCCTGACTTTGACGGAAAAAGCCACTTTATACACAGAGTATTTATTTCGTCCTTGTTTGGCGGAATTTGTTTCAGTTTTTTCTCAGACTTTCCCCTCAAGCTTTTCCTCACTAACTGCAAATGTGTTGCACTACGGCTTCATAATTTCCTGCACCGTTTACTCCCACACATGTCAAACCTGCTCTGCAAAGGATACCTTAATGGCGCGTATAACAGCCGTGCTGATTCTTGTGCCAGCTAATGTCAACTGAGGTTTCTAGGTTTGCGAGAAGAAAGGACCAGAGATTCACAGGTTATCCATAAGTGCCAAACACAGGCAATTACAAGCTTGATTGCTTGATAAGGCTGTTGGCATGTGTATTCAAGACGTCATTGAGCTAAACGTCAGATCCTTGAATGGCAGTACCATATCAGTCATTGTTATGCTAACTGTTGCACAGTATGATTCATCACAATAACAAGCTTATAATTGCCAATGTTGGACAGCAACGGGTAACCTGTGACCCTTTGTTCCTTCCTTCTTAACATCTCCCCATCTACGCCAATACTAACAAGGATTATGAGGCTAAGGGCATATTCGATTGGTAGGATCGGGATCCCGATCCACCAGATCCACTGGATTCGCACCCTTTCGATTGGTCGAATCTGGATCCGGATCCTTCGGATTTGAATCCGGTCAACCCACCTCGGGGAGCAGGGTTGACCGGATCCAACGGATCCAAATGTGACCTTTGTGCGTATGTGGCGGGTAAAAATCGTTTTTGTACACATTGTGGTACGCCCGTGTGGATGAAGACAGAGCTTGTTGACCTCTTGCACAACTGGCGCGGTGAGTACGACTTTTTATTACTTTGTCAACATGGCAACAGTCAAGGCCCAAAAAAGTGTCCAGTTGACTCTGAAGGATCCAACGGATCTGAGATTTGGATCCCGATCCTGATCCTTACCAATCGAACTTGCCCTAAATGTGCTGATCTTAAAAATCAAGATTTTTTTTCAAAATAGCCTTCTCCAGTATGTGAGCCAGGCTTTTACACCGGACATTACCGTAGTTTGGGACTCTGAAACAGATGGCAAACCTGTTGTGCGTGCTTCGTCTGTGTTGGACGATGTAGTAGAAGAGTATTTTGATGGGGCACGAAACCTTGTTGTCAGGCCGAGCCCTTAAAACAACTCCATAGCCTCCATGTTTGCACGTGTGTGTATATGTGCATGTGTGTGTGTGTGTATGTGTGCATGCATGTGTGTGTATGTGTGCATGTGTGTGTGTGTGTGTGTGTGTATGTGTGCATGCATGCATGCGTGTGTGCTTCGGTACTTGTATACTGGTGTGGTGTCTTTCTTTTGACTTTTTTGACTGGAGAAGTAGTCACCACAATAATTATTCCAGGTGAAAATTCCAAATTGAGCACTGGGGCACTGGCAGGATTTGTCATTGGAAGCTTTTTTGCGGGTGCAGTGTTTGGAGGTGTTGTTTTAACACTGTCAAGGAGAAAGTCTCTTGGATTGAGGTATGTGCAAGTTAATGCATTACTATGTCCATGTCTCTTTAACACTTGCAGTGTTAAGTCATTGATGATATCTGGCCTACATCAGTGGTCCGTTGTGTGAAATAAAACCAGTCAGCATTGCTGTATGTGAGATAATTTCCTAATACCTGTATGCATCATCGACCTTGTTGGCTAGATATTGCGCTACTTGGAGCTGTTCTGTGCGATAGGTTTTGACGTGCTCGCACGATAAGCGCTGTGCTTCTATTCTTCAACATCTCTCCACCCTGTGCATATATAGGAGAAGGCACTTATATTGGAGACAGTGCTTACATTTGTTTCAACCAATACAGTCAGCTTTCATGTGATTCCGTTACTTGGATGCTATTTTGTTGTCGCGAAAGCTAAGTAGGTCTCTTTCAGTTTTAGTCAGTCCGAGTTCTGTCATTTTCTGTGTACTTGATGCATATGTCATGTAGGAAAAATATTTCTCTGACAAACAGAGAACAACAAGGTCATCCAAGGCTAGTTAGAGGCAGATCAGAGGATGCTACTGACAGCATGCATACTGATTTGCTCTAAAATGGAGGTAAGACGTTCCATGAGTTTATGGAGAGAGTACATGTGATCACTTTATGTAGCATTTTTTCTATGCAAGGTACAGAATACGTCGTGAGAAGGGGTGGGGGTAGGGTATAATGCGCCTCATTCACCACTCTCAGTTGGTTATTGGTATAGTATAGAGTGTTTTCCGGAGAGAGAGGGAGGCATTTTTATTCAGCTCCGCCCTATAGACAATACTTCTAGCACTCCAGCAAGTCGGAGGGGGTTACTGCACCGGACTTGTAGGCCGGAGAGCTCGCTGCAGACAATGGCGCACAGGACCCATTGTGAAAGGTATCATCAACGGAGTTGCGGGCACACAGTCACATTTCCCGCTGAAAAGGTTACCTAAAGCATGGGCTACACCAGCTGCCCGGAGCAGCACAGTGTCTCTGCTGACCAAGTCTTATCTTATACAGGTAAGCACTGCTGTCCAGTGCCGACTTGCGTATCACGTACAGTTCACTGCTCCTACCGTCCTCCAAACACAAATCCGTATGCGTTCCTGGCAAATATTGGAGCCCTGTATAAGTCTCTGAAATATTAACTCTCTGTTTCTATTGGTAGGAGATATAAACACAAAGCACTAATTTTGGCTTACCAAAGATAGTATTGATAAAGCTGGTGACCTACCGCCCTACCCATTAGACACTGCATTTCCGACCTGTATTTGCAGAGGTAATCTGAAGTCCTGACTCATCATAGCCATCTCCAACTTACCAGAAGAAAACCTACCTGTTACATTTAACTTTTTGCGGACTGGGATGCGGATGCAGTTTTGAGAGCTCTGCATCCTTTTGTGAAAGTTTTCTGTTTTAGGTTGTCCCATATCAGGAGTCTTTTTGCCCTGGCCATGGCGACAAGTGCAAGTAGGGAGTCCTTCACCCAGCTCAGTTCTTACAAACAAATGTAGTGATTGCCAAAACGGCATGGTCGAAATTGTAGACGAAATACAGCGAGAGCGACGCGGGGCAGCAGATCGAGAGAAGCGTTTGATGTCCATGATTGATCTGCTCACCCGGAAGGTTGAAGAACTGTCTCTGAAAGCTGCTGGATCATCGGCATTTGATCACGGTGATGGAATTTCCGAAAAAGTCGACCAAAAAACAACGAACAAGAAAGGCCAAAAATTGAAAAATCCGACCTGGTGGCGCTGCCACATCAATGAATACAAATACGAGTACTCCAGACAGCGACCACTGTACGAACTCCGAGACCTCCGTAGCTGTCGACAGCTCTAGTTCCTCTCCTGAGAGCACAATCGTATCGCAGCTCGGAAATTCGAAATAATATATGCTTCCATCTCAGCTCATCTCAATTTCGAAAATGACAACAAAGACAGTGGAGTATGGGAACTTGTTTGTGAACGAAAGCCTGCCGGAAGGAAGTGTGTGATGTTCATTGGCAATCTTCCCTGCAGTGCAGTACCTGAGAAGATTGCTGAGTTTGTGACCATCAGAGCAAGTGAAGCCAAAGTGAACGTCAAGATCTACGAATGCACAATTTTCAAAAAGGAAAGGTCCTCCTCGGCACGCCTTGTTGTGGATGCTAAGAGTGCAGTACTAGTAAATTCGAGAGAGTTCTGGCCTAGACCTCTGTACTCACGTCTATGGAATTTCGACAAGTATGACTCCGCTTCTCCACCATCCCGATCACCTGCAGGTGATGATGAGGCAAAGGATCTGCTAAATGGCCTACCAAATATCCATACTGAGACACGCCCAGCTGATGAATCGTATGATGCCATCAAGGGATCATCTATCAACTCGGAATGACCAGCACGAGCACGACCAACACGTACCGACTGTACCTAACGAACGCCTTTGGCATAGCCTCCAAATTTGGTGACTTCCGCCATGCTCTCGCACTCCACTCTCCCGACATCGCTATCGTTACCGAAACCAAGCTCACGGTAGAAGCAATGGAGGAGCTCAGTGCTGCTCATCACCTCACCCAACACGTGCTTGAGCCAACCAGGGGCAACAACACCCTGGACCTGGTCCTTTCCGATTTTGACACCCCGGTCATGTCTACTGTGCATCCACCTCTCGGCCGATCTGACCATGCCAGTGTGATTACCGACCTCCAGCGTGCTCCACCACACCGGGAGCCTCCGACCTCGAGGTGTGTGTGGCGCTATAATTTGGCTGACTGGCCACGTTTAAAGCACTTCTTCCGGCAAACAGAGTGGTCCTCTATCATCACTGACAACATTGACCTGTCATGCGAGCGGCTGACTGGCAAGATCTCTGAGGGCATGACAACGTTCATCCCGTCCAAGAGCCTCAAACTGCACAGTACCGACCCAGTGTGGTGGACACCAGAGTGCCCCGAAGCCACCAAGAGGAAGCGAAATGCATGGAAGCGACTCCGTCTGCATCCAGCAGATGCACAACTCCAACTGGCTTATACCCAAGCCACAGCCACTGCCTCAGCATGCCTTAAGAGAGCTGAAGATACCCATGCAGCAACCATCCATCGAAGGCTCGCAGCAGGTGGTTTATCCAGTCGTGAATGGTGGTCCACTGTCAAGTGTGCCGGTGGGTGTGGGCGTAGCCATGACATCCCTACCCTCAAGGAGGAAAACAGCGCGGAGCTCACCACTGGTAAGGACAAAGCAGAGAGCTTTGCCCGCTACTTTTCAGCGAAATGCAGCCTTGGTGATGACCTTGATGCCAGCAACCTTCCGTATGTCCGCCCCCGATCTGATGCCTGTCTGAGTACCATCCACTTTAGGCCACGAACGGTATGCCGTGAACTGAGGAAGATTGTCCCGTCCAAAGCCACTGGCTCGGATGGTGTGCCAGGACAAGTATCGAAGCAGTGCTGTGAGGAACTGTGCAGGCCTGTGGTTCAGCTTTTCAGCGAAGCATTCCGCCAAGGCCGGCAACCGTCACTGTGGAAGCTTGCCTCAGTAGTACCTGTACACAAGAAGGATTCGAAGTCCGCAACAAAGAACTACCGGCCCATATCCCTGCTGCCAATACTGTAAAAGGTCATTGAAGCTATTATCAATCGCAGCCTTATGGGATTCCTTGAGCGCCAGCACACCCTCACCACTAACCAGTACGGCATCCGCTCCGGCCTGAGAACGCAGGACCTCCTTAGGGCGCGTTCAGACTACCGTGAACCCCGTCAAACCGTGAATGCCGATAAACCGTGAAGGACATTCACACTACAGATAAAGTAATGTTACCGGTACGTACGTTTTCCACCTCTCACCGCGGCGCTGAGAAGGGATTTTCCCTTTTTCACAGCGCGCATGCAACCTGAGCACTTTTTTACTGCCGGGAAAACTTTACTGCCGCAGCAGCCGCGGCAGTAAAACCTTTCCGCCGGTAACGTGCCAGTAACGTCACGTGATCAAATCACCTTGGCAACTTTTCCATTCCGTCACTTTTTATCGGTAGTCTGAACGCGCCCTTACCCTACTACACCATCGTTGGAGTACCGTGGCTGCAGGGGGCGGAGCTGTACGAGTTGTTGCTGTAGATATCCCTGGCGGGATGTGTAGCTAATAAAAAAGGTGAGCTACTTCTCGACAGCCGAGAATCAGCAAGCCCTGTGACCATTGATTTGACTCTCTCGGCCAGCACTCTGTTTTTTTTACATATCTGAACACCTTGTGTGCGGTAGCATACATGCCAACCGTCCAGGTTTTCCCGGGACAGTCCAGGGAATAGGGTGTTTGTTCCGGGGTCCCGGGATGTCCTGCGAAAGTCCAGGGATTGAGATGGAACTTTTGAAATTCTCCTTTTTCTGATACTTTTCAGTGTATATTAGAACTTGTAGATCCTGTCTAAGTGTAAAAAAAATAATAAAAAACAATTCGACTGGTTCGCGTACCGAGCAGGTCAAGAATAAGAAGTCGTACAACTACCTGGTCAAGAACCACCTTTCCGCTTCCGTGGGACGCCACCACCCCATGAGTAGGTGTTAGATGCGGCTCCTAAACGGTGGGGGCGGATAGATCAGATTCACCAAACATAGGCCAAAGGCCAAAATCCCATTTGCCACCTCGTCTAAGTGTAGTAGACAAAACACATCCACGTGGAACTGCAACGGATCGCCGGTATAACGGTAGGGAACCGAAAGTTTACTAGTGCAGTTACTGCTCAATGCAATGACATCCCGTTTGATTGAGCAGTAGTCATGACAATATATCTGCTAATGATGAATGCACTAAACAAATTGGTGTCCAGGGAAGACGAACAAAATTAAGGAAATTCAGCCTCGTTGTTCAGGGAACTCCAGACTCCAGGTTGGCATGTATGCGGTCGGAATATGGAGATTCCATGATTCAGGGTTTTTGCCGAGCACCTCATCAGCTTCCTCAATAGGCAGGGATTAATTACCGACCACAAGTATGGCTTTGTCTCCTGCAAGTCGACACTCGATCAGCTTATTGTCCTGTCTTCAAGAGTGGCTAAAGCACTCGACAGGCGCACTGACTACCATGCTCTATTCTTGGATTTTGCGGAAGCGTTTGACAATGTACCGCACACAGTTCTTCTCCGTCAGGTCGCTGCTATCATGTCCCCTGAAACCGTTTCTTGGTTCACCAACTACGCCAGAGACCATTCCTTCTGTGTCAAAGTTCTCTCTGCCAAGTCGCCGACCCACCCAGTTTCTGCAGGCGTTCCCCAGGGATCTCACCTTGGCCCCATTCTTTTAATTCTCTGAATTAATGCCCTTCCTCGCACCATATCGTCTGATGTCACTCCTGAAGTGATATTATTTGCCGATGGCTTATTCAGTCGGAGGGTGCTTCAACCCTTCGAAGTCTTGCACCATGCAGTTCTCTCCTAGAAGTCGTGCTTAACGTGACCACCCTACTCGTCCGACTCCGCACCTGAGAATGCAGGGAGATGACGTGTCTGGTGTAACGACTCACCGACATCTTGGAGTCATCTTGGACTCTAACCTCGACTTCACCAACCACGTCGCCACCATCACGACAAATTTTCGCCAGCGAGCGGTCCTGCTGACCCACATGACCAAGCGTATCACCCCTGCCGTAGCCAGCTGCTTGTACACTGGATATGTTCGACCTGTGGTTGAAAACGCCTCATCCCACTGGCAATTTCAACTCTCCAGTGCTCAGGCTACTACCCTTGAAAGGCTACAGGCAAGAGTGGCACGTGCGATCCTGCGCCAGTATGGCGTGTACCCTCCTCAAACAAAGCCGAAAGCCTCACTTTTCGCGCACCTCCAGTGGCCCAGCCTCGCATGGCAAAGACGCATTCAGTGCCTTCTTGAGCTCCAACTTATCAATAGCCAGATGACGACCTTGAAGGCCCTAGGCTACTCACTGTCAAACAGCGCCAGGCGCCCCCAACATCTACTCCCACCTGCTAGAGCCAGCACACACACACCCGTGCCACCTTTCTCTTTGTCACCACTGCCACATGGAACTCACTCCCAGCTGCCATTCGTACTGTATCCAGCCCAAAATGTTTTACCGCTCTTGTCCGCACACACGTTGCTATCACCCGTTATGAGCCCTCTGGTTTCATTCCATGTAGAGTATTGATGTCATAGAGCACTGTGTTATATTACCACCACCCCGCATCATTCTTTTTCCCATTTTCTCCTCAGCTTCTTCTTCATAAGCTGTTGACGGAGACTCCCACGCTTTAGGCTAAGGCGGAGAATCCATAAATACAAAATACAAACTTCGTGTTCTCAAGTTTTGATGTGAATTTTCATCCGTGAGATTGCTGGACACCTCTGAGATGCATTGAAACCCGGACCTGTGTTTATATGTTTACCATGGTGCACATACTCTTCCCTTTGCCTGTGTTGTTCCGCAGGCACCCGGTCTTCCAAGGAGGCTAGCAGTGGAGCAAGGACATTATGTCAAGGATATTTGTATTGTTTGTTAACACAGGTAGCCTCGATACCTGCTCCTAGGTGTGGTTCTACCGTATGCTCATATACTGGTATTGAGGACGAAATGGTAATACATTCACATGCTTACAAAGGTTGATGTCTGTTTGTAGAGAGCAGATGACGAACTACAGAGACGGCACAGATCTAATGCATGTTTTTTTGTCTTCTGCGATATCTGCTTTATACTGTTAGTTTGCAGAGTAATTGTGACAAACATACAATTACTTTTGAACTTTGTTTCGCTTTGCTTTGTTGAAGTGTTCATGCTACTTATTATGTATTCAGTTTTAAATAGTAATTTGTTATACCACACACATAGTCGCGTAGAATACTGTACTCTGGGTTGTCACTATTCGGCATTTCTACTGTAGGTTTATGATTGCATGCATTGCACTGTAGTTGTGCCCTCTAAGTGACCTGTTCCGGCCCTGCAAAAAAGTAATTCAGCACCTTTCTTCTTTCAATTTCTCCTGCGTGAGAAAGATTTTAGACTTCTCTTTATAATATTCTTCAGAAACCTGCCCGCACTTTTGCATTTTGCTACGCTTTGCTAGTGTATCTGTGTGAGAAGGTATGCCCCTCGACAGTATTTTGTGTACTGCAGGTGTTTTCAATACACTGACACCCACCACAAATGAATGATAATAATGATACATGTAATAATTTGAAACTCGGGTATTGAGCCAATATTAGAGAGGTTAAGTTACACGTTTTTTGCCCTTTTTCAAAACGCGGTGCAAATCTCACGTTACGTGTAATTTTTAGAGGTTAAGTTACACGTGCGACGTGACGTGAACTTTTGCCTGGCAGGATTCGGGTTTAGTTCGCACAAATATAAAATCTTCCAACAAACTCGATAAATGTCGATAAAAAACCGGAAACTCACACAAATTCGGCCGGGATAACCAAGCGAGACTTCCAAAAACTCACGTCATGAACTTACGTGCGGGACAGTCAACTCACGTAAAACACGTCAAATTTTACGTGAGTTTTTTCACTTTTTGACGTAAAAGTTCACGGACGTAAGACTTTTACGTGAAACTTAACCTCTCTATTAGAGAGGTTAAGTTACACGTTTTTTGCCCTTTTTCAAAACCCGGTGCAAATCTCACGTTACGTGTAATTTTTAGAGGTTAAGTTACACGTGTGACGTGACGTGAAATTTTGCCTGGCAGGATTCGGGTTTAGTTCGCACAAAATATCAAATCTTCCAACAAACTCGATAAATCTCGATAAAATTCCGGAAACTCACACAAATTCGGTCGGGATAACCAAGCGAAACTTCCAAAAACTCACGTCATGAACTTACGTGCGGGACAGTCAACTCACGTAAAACTTTTTTTTTTTTTTTTTTTTTTTTCGTGGTAAACCGGCCTCTTGTACGGGCAGAATTAACTTAAGTAACACAGTGATACAATAAAAACAAAGTACCAGTAGTTACATACATGGACCATACGAGAAAAAGCAGTGATGACGAGGCATAAACAAGTGTCTAGTGCTGTATGGCAGCTTCCGAGACAGCGAGTCGAGCGGATGACTCAGCCACCTCCGGGTGCGAATACAGCCGTCGTGCACCACGCAGGCAAGCCACGCCTGCACGGAGAAGGGCGAAGCTGAACCTGCAGCGGATCCATGCCATCACTGCAGAGTATGGCTCACCAGATTTGTCGGAGACCATTGCAGCTATTCTCTTGAGGAGAGCGGCAGCAGCTCGACCAGTACCACCAGTTGCAGCGAAAACCACAGGGATGAAGGTTCCACGCTCGACCTCCTTGACGCGCTGTTCGTATCGCCTCCGTTTTTCACGTTCATGACGCTGGTAGCAAGCGGTGATGGAAGAGGATCGATTTGAGGGAGCAAAGGGGTTGAAAACCCGAATATCGAGAAAGACTCTCTCAAACCGACCTCCCCAAACACCACTCGCCGCAACATCAAGTCGAGCCTGGTCTTCTGTGGAGGCAGTCTTGTAGCGGAGCTGCTCACCAGAGAGCGGTTGTAAGTGTGGCTCGATAGCGACACTATTGGCGACACGTTTCAATAGCGAGGCAGTGATGTCCCGCACCTCATTGTGTCGAAGTGACGGGAAACCTCCGGTGCTGC